GCGTGAACAACCGAAATGTAACTCACAGAAGTATTCGTAATTTAGTTTTTTCACAATAGTGCGATGCATAAAATGTCGCGAAGTGGCATTTTAGGCGAAATGTAAACGTTGCGAACAAAGTCGTATGAACCAAGAATGATCGAATAAAGAGATTGCGCTTTGCGCAGGTCCGTTACTCTTGTTTACAAATCAGCTGTTCGAGTGTTGACGTCATAATATAAAATTTTTGGTGGGAAGCGTATTGGTTTGCGAGGAAAACGTATTGATGTGTGATATTTTTGTTAAAGTTATAAAATAAAAACTTTGTAAAATGAAGTGCGCAGTTGCGAAATGTGGAAAAACGGCGGCAGAGTGCAGTTTGTTTACTTTTCCTTCAGATCCAGAACTTAGGAAAAAGTGGATCCAGTTCTGCCGGCAAAGCAAGGATTTCCAATTTAAAACTTGCTATATTTGCATGCATCACTTTGCAAGTGAAGATTTTGAAAATAGTCTGCAGTTCGAAACGGGTAGGATGTTTATTTATTTCGTTTATTGTGTTTATATTAATGAAAGTGTTTAAAACATTTCTAAGGTTATGCAAAAAGAAGATTGTTGAAACGAGGCTCCGTGCCATCAATTTACAAGCCCGGTGATGAAAACCCGGAGCGTTCGCAAAGAGTTCATCGTCGTCAAAACAAAAAAATTGTTTCTGAACTTCTTCATCAAAGTGATGCTTCTGTATCACAAGAAGGTAATAAGTGTTACTAGTTGTTCAAGATGATATTTACCTAAGTAGAAATTTCAGTTGAATGTATTTGCGTTGAAGCGGTCGAGGATGCTGGTAAAGATACCAACCTTTCGCAGGCGTTTGAGGAGGAGAATGAGGAAAATTGTGCTCTTGCAGCCAATAGTATTGCTGATGCATCAGCGTTACAAATCAGCCTTGCAAATCGGTCCTTTTCAGTACAAGAAATGGAAGATTTGCAAGCAAAATGGTAAGTCGATTCTCATTAATTTTTGAATTTAAATTATTTAATGTGATGTATATAACCTATTTAGTGAAGCGTTACAAAAAGAAAAAGCATCTCTTCGAAAAGAGAACAAAAAGCTCCGAAGTGAAGTCACGGCACTAAAGCGAAGTCATTGGTTGAAGGACAAGAAGCACGATTACAACATGAATGAGGCAAAAAAGCGTGTGCGGATAGCGGAACATTCCTGCAAAAATATGGAAGAAAAGTTGGAAGGGATTTTTACAAAAGGCCAAATAGCGAAGTTGAAGAATGGCGTTAAAAGACCACTTTGGAGCGAGAAAGATATAGCCCAATCGATTACTCTGTACGCTGCTGGTGCGAAATCGTACAAGCTTATGTACAGAAGGGCTTTCCGCTTCCTGGAGTCAGAACATTGCAGACATGGTCAAAAAAAATTGATGTTTCCCGAGGATTGTTAGAGCCAGTATTCAAATTAATGGCAGCATGTACGCATATGACTGAAACTGTCTGTGTTGTGCTTCGATGAAATGAAAATAAGAAAGACGTACTGCTATGATGCTTCATCTGATTCGACGCTAGCTCCAGCCAGTTATGTTCAAGTAGCGATGCTAAGAGGTACATACATACATACTTGTAAAAACATTTCATAATACGAAATCTATGTACAATTTTATATATAATTTTCACCATTAGGCTTAGTATCCAACTGGAAACAGCCAATTTTTTATGACTACGACTGCAGGATGACCAATCACATATTACAAAGCATTTTGCGAACGACGAAAAAATGTGGCTACAATGTTCTCGCTGTTGTATGTGATCTCGGAGGCAGCAATAGAGCTTTGTTCAACGACTTGGGTGTGCACAAAGATAATCCGTGGTTAGTAAAATGTTTAATTTCTTTATTTACACATACTAAACCAAGATATTTTTGCAGCTTTACCTTCGAAGACGAAGAAATTTTTGTGTTCGCGGACGTTCCGCATTTAATTAAACTAGCCATTTCGTTGACCACGGATATGTCATTGATGGGAAAATAGTCAAAAAGGACATAATATTAGAGCTGATGTCATGCACCTCAAAAGACCTAAGCATCACACATAAGATCACCGCTAGCCATCTCAACGTATCTGGACCGCATAGGCAAAAAGTCAAAACGGCCACAAAGCTGTTTTCGCATACGATAGCGCAAGCAATCACAAGAGCTGCAAGCTTGGGGCACTTGAGTGGGCATAATTGGCAGGAGTGCTTCCAATTGTTTAAAAAGGTAAAAGTTCTACACCTAATATCTTCTTCTTCTTCTTATTTGGCGCTGTAACCGCCTAAGCGATTTTGGCCGAGTCCAAAACAGCACGCCAGTCATTTCTCTTCTGTGCTAACTGACGCCAATTGAAAATGCCAAGTGAAGCCAAGTCCTTCTCCACCTGGTCTTTCCAACGCAGAGGAGGCCTTCCTCTTCCTCTGTTACCAGCATCGCGGCTCGCGTTGAATATTTTCAGAGCAGGAGCGTTTCTGTCCATCCGAACGACATGGCCAAGCCAGCGGAGCCGCTGAATTTTAATTCGCTGCACTATGTCTATATCGTTGTAAAGCTCATACAGCTCATCGTTAAATCGTCTGCGATATTCGCCATCACCAACGCGTAAAGGTCCGTAAATCTTTCGCAGAATCTTTCTCTCGAAAACTCCAAGAGCCGCCTCATCAGATGCTTTCATTGTCCATGCTTCCGCGCCATACACCAGCACAGGCATGATGAGTGACTTATAGAGTGTGATCTTTGTACGACGAGAGAGGACTTTACTTCTCAATTGCCTACTCAGCCCAAAGTAGCACTTGTTGGCAAGAGTGATTCTCCGTTGGATTTCAAGGCTGACATTATTATTGGTGTAAATGCTGGTTCCCAAATAAACGAAGTCGTCTACTTTTTCAAACTTGTAACTGTCAACAGTGACGTGGGTGCCAAGACGCGTATGCTCTGACTGTTTGTGTGCTGACAGGAGATACTTCGTTTTGTCCTCGTTCACCACCAGACCCATTCGCTTTGCTTCTCTATCCAATCCCGAGAAGGCAGAACAGACGTAGCCCTTGTTTTTACCGATAATATCGATGTCGTCGGCATACGCCAGCAATTGTACGCTCTTATAAAGTATTGTGCCTGAGCGGTTCAGTTCTGCGGCTCTTATTATCTTCTCCAACATAAGATTAAAGAAATCACACGAAAGGGAGTCCCCTTGTCTGAAACCTCGTTTGGTATCAAACGGCTCGGAGAGGTCCTTCCCTATTCTGACGGAGCTGGTGGTATTGCTCAACGTCATTTTACACAGCCGTATTAGTTTCGCGGGGATACCAAATTCAGACATCGCGGCATAAAGGCAACTTCTCTTCGTGCTGTCGAAAGCGGCTTTGAAATCGACAAATAGATGGTGTGTGTCGATCCTATTCTCGCGGGTCTTTTCCAAGATTTGGCGTATTGTGAATACCTGATCTATGGTGGATTTTCCAGGCCTAAAGCCACACTGATAAGGTCCAATCAGCTCGTTGACGGTGGGCTTCAGTCTTTCGCACAATACGCTCGATAAAACCTTGTAACCTATGCTTAGAAGGCTAATTCCGCGGTAGTTGGAGCGTATGGCGGGGTCGCCTTTCTTGTGGATTGGGCAGAGCACACTTAAATTCCAGTCGTCGGGCATGCGTTCATCTGACCATATTCTGCATACGAGCTGATGCATGCACCTCATCAGCTCCTCGCCGCCGTACTTGAATAGCTCGGCTGGCAGGCCGTCAGCTCCAGCAGCTATTCGCTATTCGTACCTCGTCATAGTCAGGAGGTGGGACAGCTACTCCATCATCATCGACTGGGGACTCGGGTTCATCTTCTTCACTACTTTCAGCGCTGCTACCATTCAGTAGATTATAAAAGTGTTCCCTCCACAATTGAAATATATTCTGGACATCGGTCACTAGGTCGCCATTGTTGTTCTTACAGGAGTTCGCCCCGGTCTTGAAACCTTCCGTAAGTCGCCTAACCCTCTGGTAGAATTTTCGGGCGTTCTTCCTGTCGGCCAGCATCTCAAGCTCTTCGCACTCACGTATTTCGGCCTCTCTCTTCTTATTGCGGCAAATACGTCTCGCTTCCTTCTTCAGTTCCCTATAACGGTCCCACATGGCTCGCGTTGCGCCCGATCGCAGCGTGGCCCTGTAGGCGGCATCTTTTTTCTCTGCAGCTTCTTGACATTCCTCATCGTACCAGTTATTCTTTCGGGCTCGCTGAAATCCAACTACTTCTTCGGCGGAGGTACTTAATGATCGGGAAATGTGGTTCCACTGCTCGCGTACGTCGGATTGTTGAAGAGTGCTCTCAGAGAGCAGGTGTGTGAGTCGAGTGGCGAATAAATTGGCCGTCTGTTGTGATTGCAGCTTTTCGACGTTAAGCTTTCCTTGCATTGTTGGGCGCACATTTTTTGCTGCACAGAGGCGGGTGCGTATCTTGGCTACAACAAGATAGTGGTCCGAGTCGATGTGTGGCCCTCGGAGTGTACGTACGTCCAAAGCGCTTGAAGCATGCCTTCCGTCTATCACAACATGATCGATTTGGTTTCTCGTTTTTCGATCTGGAGACAGCCATGTAGCTTGGTGGATGTTCTTATGCTGGAACCTAGTACTACATATTACCATATTTCGGGCCCCGGCGAAGTCGATCAGCCTCAGTCCGTTATCGGACGTTTCGTCGTGGAGGCTGAATTTTCCGACAGTGGCGCCAAAGATCCCTTCCTTGCCCACCTTGGCATTAAAATCGCCAAGCACGATTTTGACATCGTGTCGGGGGCAGCGCTCATATGTACGTTCCAAGCGCTCATAGAAGAGATCCTTGGACGCCTCATCCTTCTCTTCCTAATATAAGCAATCATATATCTGTGTAATAATCTCTTATACTTTTTAGACGAATGATTGGTTTGACGTGATGAACGTCAGGGTGCCTCATGCTGATTCTAGGGTGCGGCGTCACGGGTATGGTCTTGCAGTCGATGTTCAAAACCAAATATTGGACGAAATGTAAGAACTGGTGGGGAATATGAGAGTCGTTGGAAAAAATGCGCTATTACCGTTTCAAAATGGTATATAACAGTTTTAATTATGCTTAATATTTTAAATAATCTATATGTACACATGCTTCTGATTAATTTTAGGAATTATACAATCAAATAAAGCCGTAAAATTGTTGCTTGCCAGCCTTCAACGACGATTCGGTGTCAAGTACATTCTGACGTATCATTTAAACCAGGATGTACTTGAAAACTTCTTTGGAGTTATACGCGCTAAAGGTGGTTTGCACGACCACCCTGACCAGCAGGAATTTAAATATCCGCTCAGAAAATACATTCTTGGGCGCAATGAGGGCGCAATTTCTACGGCAGGAAATGTCGAGGTTGATGATACCCCAGATTTAGAACCATCTCAGCCTACTCTTACAGGTATTTGAAATTTTTTGTATTGTAATATAATGTACATACTTACACAGGTACGAAACTTTTTATACAGGTACGATATTGCGACCCATGAAACTTCCATTGGAAGAAATTGAACCAAAGGAGTTTGATGATCTAGAATATGACGGTCTAGAAAATGTAGCCGGATATATATGTCACAGACTACGTGATGAAATTCATACCTCGTCCTTCAAAACTAGCGAGGACCCATCACTCTCATGGGCGAACCACTTAAGTGAGGGTGGTTTATCACTTCCAAGCGCAAGTATGATGGAGTGCATGTCACAACTTGAGTCAATATTTGTAGCAGTTAATGGAGAGACACTACTCATTAGTAATAATTTTATAAAAGAACTCATAGACCAAGCATCTGATATTGAATGTGACATAAAAATTAAAAAAATATTTTTCAGAACACGAATGTTTGCTAAAATACGAAAACTCAACCAAGAAATTATTGAAACAGCGCACAAAAGAAAACGCAAATATACAAAAATATTGACTTAGCAAAATTTGTTTTATTATTTAAAACCTTGGAATATTATATATTAATCTTTTCAATTCACAGGTAAAATCCTAAAACTACGTAAATCAACTTGTCATAAACATTTCAATTCAGTACAATTAAATGTTTGTAATTCTGTGCTGGAGGAATGTTTAGTTATTTGTACAACGATTTTGGGGTGAAGGGTGGACGGAGGGGTTGGGGCGTGGCTACCCAAATCCCTCTAAACGAAATATGATGGACCGCGATTTATGAAAAGTCAGCTCGCAAGTTTGCAAAAATACCATAATTCAAACCGAAATTATAAAAAAATTATTGCAGATATAGTAATTAGTTTTTTTTTTTTTTTAAATAAAGCGTAGACTTGTCTACAAGTGTGTGTAAACGTTTTTAGATTCGGGTCACTCGTTTGGGCACAGCAACCAAAAATGTGTGTGCAAATAACTAAACCGCATCCCTATGCTGTTTTAATTGCTTCATAGAATTGTACTTTACACTTTACCTTAATGGTTGCACCGGTTGCATGGTTGGCACCGTATTTCCTGAAATAAGTACGCATTGGAAGTTAGTAAAAAGTAATGTATTGTCGCAGATGCTAATTACCATGCTATGAGCACGCCCTTGCTCAACGAATTGGCCCTTTTACGCTGTTTCCTGGTTAGCGCTCTTCGATTCTCTGTAGTCTTTCTGGCATCGTATAGCTTCTATATTTGTTTCCAAGCCTTGGAGCTATGCACTATTTGCTGTGGCTTCAATTTCATTTGGAAATCTTACTCGTTCCATATGCCTGCGCAACGGCGGCCACAGAATGCAATTTTTATTTGAACGCCCTACTCACTACCTGAAATAAAATAATAATATAAATAATGTAAAAGAAACACAAAATAAATTTACCGTCTTCTCGATTCAATAAATTGCCACCAGATTGTTTTATTTTAGTCTTTCAACTAAATTTTATTCTATATTTACTTTTTTTCGTCGAAATTGTATGCGATTTGACAGCTCGCCAACAACAACTTTTATATTATGACGTAGATGCGCTGAACGAAAAATTTTTGCACCCCTATCGGCGCAATCTTTGTATTCTATCATTCTTGGTATGAACGACCTATCGCAAATATAACATTCTTAAAAATGCCGCGCTTAAGTGTAAACGAAAAGTCTTTACAATTATATTTCCAAGTAACCTTAACTAATATATTATTTTTAATATTTTTATTGAGCTTTTGTACCACGATTGTTTATTAGGAAATATTAAAAAAGCAACAAAGTCTAAGCGGTAGAAGTTATAGCAGCTATTTCGGAGATCACCACATCTCCTCATCAGACTTCTTTTTTCTAGAATTCAGCAGGGAAGCAGGGAAAAGAAGTCTGATGAGGAGATGTGGTGATCTCCGAAATAGCGCTATAACTTCTACCGCTTAGACTGTGTTGCTTTTT